CTTAACCTGTTAACCGAGCGGGACGTATAAATATGTCCAAAGTAAACAACAATAAGTACGGGTAAGACATATGAATACGTTCTCGATATTTATATTGCGCCCTGGAACAGGTGGGACGTATATTTTACTACTACTATGGTAATACGTCATTCACACACGTCTTAGTGGAAAAGGACGCGCCCGTTATATGTTGAGTAATTAGAAAGTGATTTCCCCGGTTAACAGGTTAATTTCTATCTCGAAAGAGGAAAATTCGTTGGTCAGGATGAGAACAAGATATAGTCGCAGTTTTATGGACCTCTCCTCTTATCGATATGTTGGCTCTCTACGAACACGTGTTTGGAGGCTGCAAGCCTTTTGCATGCAGTCGCGAGAGTGCGTTAAGCGGAAGAACGCACTAAAGACAGAACACATGCTTACACTAATGCTAAGTACATATTTTATTGCCGTTTGGAGACTGTCAAGAAAAATTTTTACTGTGATGCTCAACTCGGTTCCCCTCGCTAGTGAGCAAAGGTTCTCTCGTCGTTCTCGGTTTAATACCAAGAAAAATGTTTTTGGAATTATACTGCCCGCCGTCACATCCCCATACTAAAACGGTTACTTAAGGAGTGTTACGAGGAAAAGTAATCGAAAAGAAAAATAAAACGTTATATCTTGTATATTCGTAAAAGCTTAAGTCTATTATTTTTTTAAGTCCCTATATTATAAACAGGTTGCAATAAATCCAGCACTTACGGTACCAAAAGTCATAAACTTTGATCAAATTCGATTCCAGGCATTATTGACTAGACGTTCCATAGCATTTTCGTTCAATAACTTGCCAATAGTTCCTTCAGTATTAGTAGGATGACCACGAATTTCTTTAGTGAAATCGTTTATCACTGCTGTTTGTTCCAACTTATACATGATCCGGTTTAACAAAACTTCTAAGTCTGCTTCGGTATAAATACCGCTAGTGGCCAACGTGGGAATGTCCTGATACTCCACGTTATTTCAGAGAAGGGTTTAAGAATTACAGGTGTTTTTGCATCCACTGGGCGAGGCAAGAATTGAAAACAATACTCATTAAAATAAAAGGTTCGCAGCAAAACATTACAATCAACCTGAGTTCCATGACTCATTAAAATGTGTGTCTTCGGAGTCATGAATTGTTTCATTATTATAGCTGACTTTTAACTCAGAATAGCATTCTTCACTCTATATTACTTTTACATCAGTAGTGATACATTTTATAACGTGTACCACTTCCCCAGCCACCACGACCATATACCCAGGACCTTTCATTAGACTGTATGCAAATTGATCTGGAGATTGTGCTGCTATTGCTAATTTTTCAGAATTTCGCGTTCTTGGCGGCATAGTTACATAACTGCATCTATATATAAGTATTTCATTTCAGTTTTAATATAACGTTCGACAAATACAAATTTAGAATTTACAATGCCTGGCACGCACTTTTGCCCACCCTGAGGGGAAATTTGCCAAACTTCAAAGTCTTATATCTCAGCGAAAAAGAATCGTAGAAAACTTGACGCCATTTTAAAGGTAATAGCAAAAGCTTTAAGTATCGTGAAGATTATATTGTTTATACCAGAATTAAGTTTTTTATGCTTAAAAAATGAACATAAAAAATATCATTTTTTTTTGCTCATGTACAAATTTATTTATTTGCTACGCACATAAGTGGATCATTAAAAATCCAAGCAAAATTAAAAGGTGAAATGTTCCTCTTTAAAATAAGAGGGATAGAACTCATTTCTGATTTTTTTATACAGAGATATAGCTTTTTTTTATAAAAAAATCGTTTTTTTTATCAGCTTATATTTCGACTGTTATGCATTAAATAAAAAAACTTTAAAGAAAAAAGTTGTTTCTTTTTTGGTAAAGAATACAAAAATAAAGTGAAAAGTAAGATCTGGAACAAATTTTTTTTCTTCATTTTTTCACGCTACAAATGGATTCTGCCACTCTTATTTTAAAGAGGAACATTCCATCTTTTAATTTTGCTTGGATTTTTAATGGCAAAAAAAATTTTATGTTCATTTTTTAAGCATAAAAGACTTAATTCTAGTATAAACAATATTATCTTCACGTTACTTAAAGATTTTACTATTACCTTTAAAATGGAGTCAAGTGTTTTATTGTACGACTCTTTACCGCTGAGATATAAAACTTTAAAATTTGACAAATTTCACTTCAGGGCGGGCAAAAGTACGTGCCGGTCACTGTATGTAAGCAAATATACCTATGTTATTTAAGGCGATGTGCTTATTTCTGGCGAAACCACTTTCTCGATGAGTTTCGAAAACAAATAATTTTGGTTGTTCTGTGGAAGCGATCGCATAGCTACAAACCATTCTTTTACTTTTTACCATCAAGGCAAAAGTGATATATTGAGTAGTCGAAGAGTAAATTACATTATTATTTTCATCGGTAATTTTGTTTACTTTTCAATGATATAATATTCTGTATAGATGGAATTTAAAAATATCTCGAGGTATATTATCTCAGAAAGTATTGCCACCTTCTGTATCAAGGTAGTTTTCCTCTGATAGTACACATGTTACTCCTGATCATAACTTAACTTCATTATTATTAAGATCAGCCGAAGCAATATATTCCTGAAAGGTAATTTTTAATAATCCTTGCACTACTCATTCAGTTTAGTTACCATACGCGTCAGAATATATTGCTACGCTGCATATTCCTTCGCTGTTTAAACTTCCAACGATAGTAATAGGGCGCGTAGTCGTTTAATTAATTTTTATATCTCTAAATATATGAACTCCATAAAAATAGTAAGTTCCCAAATAAAACATATCTTTACATGATTTTTCACTTATTTCTAATAAATATTTGTGTAGTCCCTTTTCTACAATAGAACTGTGAGAATGCATACCGTAATAGTGAACGGTACGCTGCAATTGAATTTTATACTGTATAACATGTAATTTTTCATAATGATTTAATTGCATCAACTGTACTTCTATTGTCGTACTGTTTACTTTATTGGTAGTCATATCATAATTTTCAACATTCAACAACGAAAGAGTAGTGATGTTGAGTGATCTAGATTTGGAGTCATAACCCACAATGGTCGCTGCGGAGCCTAGTGTAGTAGATGGTAAGATTAAATGCATCATATTGTTTTCCTAGAATCAGAAAAAGAATCAATAACAGATTTCTTCATTGTTCCTCCCTTTTCTTGGTATTTCGAGTTGGTTTTAGGCTATTTATATGCGATGTCCTTAGTCTATGAGCATGAACTACTCTCGATCCCTTGGAAGTTTCTATCTTTATATTATGTTTTGGTAAGATTCCAACGATTTTAAAAGGACCAGAAAAGTGATCTCCTCGTTTCCCGGGTTTTAGACCAGATCTCAAGAATACAAAGTCAACGAGAATAGTATAGCAATGTATGTTTCAGGCCACCCTGCGAGGGGTCCGTAACCCTTTGGTTCCCTGGCCCAACCCTTTCACTTTAATTATTATTTAAGTTAATAATTATTTATAATTTTTGAGGAAGGGTTTTATATTGAGAAAGGCTCCTAGGGCCCCTAGTCCCTAGGGAAAAATAATGTTTTATAAAATATAAGACTACGTCTCAAAGAATTTAAACGCAGTACTGTCCGATATCCTGAGCTAGCCGCTCATAATGTGTTAAATTGAAAATGGATAGAAAGGGTTAATTGAAAAAAATGAAGAGACAGATCGGAGAATCGAACCGGTGTCCTCTGGGTTGGCAGGCTAGCGTTCTACCACTAGAGCCAATGCCACATGTACCTTAGAGAATGCTTACTGTGCATATTAGCTACACACAAACCACACACACATGCATTTGGTATAGGGCCCGAGCGTGCGGAGGAGGAGAGCGCGTGTTCAGCTTGGCTTGGCAGCGTTCTCTTTCTCTCGCTCTCTCTCTCTCTAGCTCTGGCTCAGCATGGATTACAGCGCGGGGAGGAGGAGGAGAGCGCATGCTGTCTATAGTTCTAACTTGGAGATGCGCTGCTATAGTAATAAACGCATGATCTCTCTTTCTCCCTCTCTCCCTCCCACGCTCTGCCTTAACTTGGCTTGGGACAATTCTCTCAGAGGAGATATTTTGGTTCTCTCTCTCTTTCTCTTTCTCTCTCTCTTCACGGAGAGCTATACTTGCTTAAATCCTCGCTAATCCTTCTCTGGTGTCCTAGTTTTCACTTAAATTTAATTTTTACTTAAATCTGTTAAAGAGAGAAAAAAAACAAAGAGATAGAGAGAGCAGCTATGCTTACTACCTACCCTCTTATCTTAAGTTAGCCATATCTAGCGCAAATGAAGATCACAGCCAATTTGAGGATGATCAAGCTTCACTACTTTCAGGAGCAGCTATAACCTAGGAACGTGCGTAGCTTATCTGATTTACAATGGATAGGACTGTTATTACGTTCTACATTATTTGATTTACTGTAATATATGTAGTTTTAGAGGAAAAGCAAGCGTCCTCTCACTCAAAGAATGTCTACGTATGTCTGTAGCATTCGGTAGGATTTTTCGATGATCAGTCTCAAGGGAAACTTCAAGCTGTTAATAGTGAAGTGTTCTTCCTAATATTTAAAATTTCCATCTATATATAAAGTTTTGAAATAAAAAATGTGTTGGTGATTAGTCTTTTTTAATTTTTAATTGTGTAAAAAAAATTTTTTTGTTAGCGTTTAAAGAGTTATTTAAACTAGTGAAAAATGGAGAATATCGTCAGAACCTGTTAGTTTCTGGAAACCGTAATAAACATTTTTCAAAATTAAAAATAATTATATATATATATAATTATTTTTAATTATATATGTGTATGTGTGTGTGTATGTATATATACACTAATTTTTTATTAAATGATTTACAGAATACGAATATTATCCCGCGTGAGCTGCTGTGTCGGCTGCTCATTGTTATTTCAAACACTGAAATTTCTTTTTTATATTATTTAATATTTAACATTTTAATATATATTTGTTTATTTTCAGTTGCTCAGATGCGCAGGCAACAACACACAGCACGTTGCCCAATTAACGCAAATAATAGCTGTTGTTCATCAAGTAAGTTTTATTATTATTATTATTATTGTTGAATTCTTTACATGATTATACAGATTTTTTATATTTTAGTTATGTTATATTATAGCGGAAAGGCTGATCGTACAACAAATGGCATATCAGATAATCAAGACGATGGAAGGACGAGTGAGGGTGCAACTTTGTCGTTAGAGGCGCGCAGAGATGAGCAAAAAATAAGAATTCTCTCGATTGGAGCAGAGCTGGCCAAGACGGAACAAGTCGAATTAACAGATAAAGTAACAAACGAATAGTGCTGACAAAATCATCGAAGGATCTAACGCTTTCAAATATGAAGGCGTCATCCTCATCAGCGTCACCCTCATCATTGTCATCGTTGGGATCGGTAACGTTATCGTCGTCGACTGCGTCGTCTGCGTTGTCTACGTCCTCGTCGTTATCTGCGTCACCATCGATGCCGCAGTTACCTTCGTTGGAGATTTTACAGCAAGATGAGGTAATTGATTTGACTACTATGGTAAGCAAACACTTATATTTATTATAACATTTATATATTTTAAGTAATTACTATAATATTTTACAGAGAACTGTACCAAAGAAACCGCTAATCAAGAGTAGTGAGGCTGTTCGGCGTAAGATAATTTTAAACCTGGCCGAACAAACAACGAGAAAGCTTACTCGTCCCCTTAAGATTGTAGGATCATTTAAGAAAAAATAAAATTATATTATTTGTAATATTTAATATATATTGAAAATAAAATAAATTAAATAAAATAAGAAAATAAATAAAATGCTTCATTTTTTAAGTCGAGAGAGGGAGAGAAATAAGTGAGAGAGTGACTACTACTACTACTACTACTACTACTACTACTACTACTACTACTACTACTACTACTACTACTACTACTACTACTACTACTACTACTACTACTACTACTACTACTACTACTACTACTACTACTACTACTACTACTACTACTACTACTCCTACTACTACTACTACTACTACTACTACTACTACTACTACTACTACTACTACTACTACTACTACTACTACTACTGGTGGCGCTGAAAGCAGCGGTTTTGGCGCTGTAGGTTGAAGAGGGGGTAGTCAGACAAAAGGTAGGAGGTGGGTGGATGGGTGGTGGCTGCGCCTAGCAAGCTAGAGACACTACCCCCTCTCCGAGGGCCCACACTCAGCTAGCTTAAGCTTACTAAGCGCCCTACTATAGAAGGAGAGCGAGAGAGAGACAGAGAGAGAACGGCATTCACACTATACGACGTACGTGTCTAGCAAGCTAGAGACGCTACCCCCTCTCCGAGGTCCCACACTCAGCCAACATAAGCACCCTACTATCGAAGGAGAGCGATAGAGAGGGATAGAGAGAGAGAAAGAGAGAGACCATCATAGTTTACCAGACACCCTACCGAATTCTACAGCATCCTATCTTAACAACCTCTGTAGATGGGTGGGTGAGGGGGGGGGGGGGCACTTTGTCGAAGGCACGCTGGGGGTATCAAACGAAAAACAAATGCCTTTTAAACACTCAGCATGGTGGAGCCTACTGGCACGCGGGAGGTGTCAAAGGTACATCAAATGCCTCTTAGACACTCAGCATGGGGTTTAACCATAAATTAAAAGGTGTCACTACCGTGACATCTTCATCAGCGGCTCCTTTGTGTCCCAGAACATACACGTATCCCTTATACATTGGCAGCATCCTTTGTCGGCTCCTTTATGTCCCAGAACATATATTGTTTATGTACTAAGAAATGTTAAAATGGCTAGGAGAAATGGGTTTAGTGATAACGAATGGGAGAAAAGAAGGAGATGAAGAGGGAGAAATAACATATATAGGAGCGAGAGGAATGTCAACGATAGATTATGTAGTTGGTAACGAGGAAGGTGATGAGGCAATAAAAAGGGTTTAAATAAAAGAGAAGGTAAAGTCGGACCCCTTACCAGTAGAAATGGAATTGGGAGAGAAAATAGCAGAAGAAAGAAAAGAAGAGGAAAAAAGACTGGTAGACGACTGGAGCGAAGAAGGTATATGAGAGTATCAGAGATGAATAGACGCAATAAAGAGTGTGACGAGAGCCACGGCTCGCGCCGTTGGCTCCGTCCACATCTCTCCCTTTCCGGTGGCAGAGAGAGCGAGATAGACAACAACAAGAAATATGATTTGGAAGCCAGCAAGGTTGGTACGCGTACTTCGCCGCCGATTGCCCGCTACTCAAGGGTTTTTGGTGGGAGGCGCTCGGTGCCCGACAGTAGATTGCGACAGCGATTGAGTGCGACACGCTTTGTCCGTGCCGTCTTAGCAATTGATTTTTGGCCTTTGCGAAAGCGAGTGAGATTTATTCTGCAATGTTTGCAAATTAATGTGCAACGCGTGTGTAACGTGGTGCAACTGTTTGTCATGAGACTTGTGTTACAAGAAGGACTGAACGTGGCACCAGCATCTATACAACCCGGGGACACCGAGCAGCTTTCCTGTAATGTTGGTTAAGTTTTCTCTCTTTCTCGTAAGATCGCGTCGCCGGCAACCCTTGAGGATACGAAGGCTCAGCGGTTATTTCGCTTGAGGGCCTATGGAGAAACGCGGAAAATAGCTCGTAACTGTCGCGCTAGCTGGGTTCAGTCAATGAAAATGCACGTAGGATAACTAGTAATACTACTACTACTACTACTACTACTACTACTACTACTACCACCATGAGCGAAGAAAGCACATCAAGTTCGATCAAAGTGAAGGTTTTGCTTACAGTTTTCTTTGACTGCAGGGGCGTGGTGCATCATGAGTTCTTATCACAAGGTAGTACGGTTAATAAGGAGTATTACCTTGAAGTTATGCGACGTTTGCGTGAAGCAATCCGAAAAAAACGCCCCGATTTATGGAAAAACAATTCATGGCTTTTGCATCACGATAACGCACCTGTTCACTCGTCGTTGCTTGTTCGTAATTTTTTGGCCAAAAACAATACCGTAATCGTGCTCCAACCTCCACATTCACCAGATATGGCTCCGTGTGACTTTTTCCTGTTCCCAAAGTTGAAGAGACTCATGAAAGGACGGCGTTTTTCCTCGATTGAAGAAATAAAGGCCGAATCGCTGAGAGCGCTCAAGGACATACCAAAAAGTGAATATCAAGAGTGCTTCGAAGATTGGAAAAAACGCTGACATAAGGCCATAATGATGAATTATTGTTCTTGAAATTCGGTCTGGTAGAATGACTTGGAACTTACAATCGAGTTGAAGAATAATTCGAGATTCATCTTGCCTCATGTATGTTGTTACGTGAAGTACCATCATATTATAGTTATATTTCCCGATTAAGATTTAGTTTAATTTAATTTGTCCGTGTTATCCGGTATTACTCTTTTACCTAATTAAAGGTTAATTGAAAGCTTTAGTTCAGTTCACTTCATCAGAGTTTGAGTGTTAATAAAAAGCCCAAGACAGACAGCAATCATACAGGCAATTTGTTCACGCCGTTAGGACCAAAGAGAATATATTAATCCATTGTATCAATTGGACACATACTTATAATACGCATACATTTAACTGACCATATAATCCGTTTAAAAACAAAAAGGAAGGAGGACCATATAAATAAAGAAACAATACTAATATATAAAGGACTGATCGCCAATAACTCTATTAAAAAAATAAGTTAGTACCATATTGTCTATATATATATATATATATATATATATATATATATATATATATATATATATATCTTTCTATTTTTGCTCTATCATTTATTCATGTACTTGAGCTTTATAAAATAAATTTTATAAGTACTATTAAACGCGCTTGAGTATATCCATATGCTTCCCCGTTATTGTTTATTTTATATATAACCGATTACAGATAAATATATACGAATACGTCCGATCGAATATCTCACGATCGCGGTATCGGGAGCCCGGATTCAAATCTACGAAGACTTTGTTATCGACGCGCGAACGGGACGGGCTGCCCGAGTCAAAGGCCGCTCGGCTGTTGAAAGGCCTACGCACGAGACAAATTCGCCTCGCGCAAATTGTCACCCATCAACTGGTAGCAGAGCGTGGTTACTCAGGCTTTATCTTTTCAATTTTCTCTCGCGTTAATAAAATTTTTTTTTAATAATTTATTGATTAAATTCATAAAACTATTGCACATTGATATATATATATATATATATATATATATATATATACATTGATTAGCAGGTGTATTAATGTAATTGGTATTAATACACTATACGTGTTGATTAATGTGTGACAGGGTTATAGCGATGTTCGCTAGCCCTGTGTGCGGCACTCTCCTCGCGCGAGCGCAGCGACCGAGTGTACGCTATATAGCGACTACATACTTGTGTCGTTGCAGGATCTGGTGAGAGGAGCGCGACGATCGGCGAGGTGTCGCCGTGAGTGCGAGTGAGAGCGAGAAGAGCGAGAGAGAGAGAGAACGATTTTGATTGATTTTGACGGCGAGAGAAGTGGGAGCGCGGTGGCGTGACGCTTAGAAAATTAAGAGAGAGGAAGGGTAGTTAGGCGCGAGCTCTCGAGTAATTAGGGCCGCCTAAGGAAAGACTGGGGGAGACAAGATTTCGGCAGGAAAGGAACTACTGCCATCAGTGCAACTGCCACGTTTGCCAGGAGAACAGGGTGTTCGAAGCTGAGCCAGTGCAAGCAGCGACCATTCGCCGTCCTTGAGGCAAAGGCCGTGCTGCGACCCTTCCTGCAGCAACCTCAATCGTCGCCAGGGCACGGTTTCCTGCCGGTCTACGTTTTAGCCGGCGTCGCCTCTCTACCGACGGACCGTCGGCATTCGGTGGGTTATTGGCGTATACGGACATTGGCGTATTTTGAGAAATTTATCGCGCACGCTGATCGATCTCGCTCGTTTGATCCCGCGAACTCTGGTCGCGGAAGGGCTGAGCGAGCGCGCACACCGCAGTGAAGTAGATCTTGTAGCGATATTTATGAAAAGACGTCAATAAATGAGATCGCCATATGTAGTATAAGTGAATTAAAGTGTCCGATTATTTGTATGAACCTCCCGAAGCAGAGCGAACTTCGGCCTGTGAAAGTCAGCGCCGGCTTTCTTTACCGAGAAAGAACCCAGAAAAATTATCAGAGACCAGCCCAAGGCGCACGGTGGCTGTCCCCTCTCGCAAATGTGTAAAATATATATATATATTGTTACATAGTGTTAGTATATGTTGATGCGTATTAATTAATATTGATACATATTAATTAATCCGCCGTCATTATCATCATTATTAATATTTTATTTTTTATTTCATATATTATTTTTCCTTTAATTTTGTATATTATTTATGTCATACTTAGTTATAATCGCGATCAGAAAAATATAACTTCTTTCCTATGCTGGTGAAACGCGATACGGGTGAATAAGACGCTTGTTTCCAAGCAGGCTAAAGGCCACGCCGGAGACGTGAAAAATTGTTTTTCACACGATCAGACGCTCAGGAATTCAGCGGAGTTTCGTTTTTGGTTGCATAAACGTAATTAGAGTTTTTGCTTCTGAGATCGGGTGCGTGCTTCTTCCGTTCCCACATTTTGTGCTTAGTTGATCGACTAGTATTGGCAACGTGAAATTTGAAACGCGGCTTAGCAAAATTTCTTTAGGATATTATGTCATGAACGATCGTTTGAAATTTGATGTGCGCGTTTGCAAAA